GCTCTACTCATAAGATTGTTGGAAAATTCACTTGCCAGTCCTTCATAATCTTAAAACAAATATGGTGAATGCAGGTCATACAAACCACCAAAAAGTGGTTGCTAGGGCGCCTCACTGAATTGGGTCGATAAAAACGTAGCAACTGATCGCTACAAAAAGGTTGGGCTACCACGATACTACAAAGCTTCAGGGAACCTGTAACGTGTACCAAACTGGGTCAATTGAACCCTAAATTGGGTGGGCGATATATTCTTCAGTCTGCCAACTCACTTACCTGGCCTCCATTCGAGGGGGGCGGACTGTCGCAGCGCCTTTGGCGTTGCCGAAGCCCAGCTCCGCAAGTGGCCGAGCAGTCGGACCACGGCGTCCAGGGGCCCCAGGCCCCGTCGACGGGGCAGTAGGCGAGCAGACATGGCCATGTCGACGTCGCCTCACCCGGGCAATGGCGACCTCCGTTTCGAGGGGTCGGATTACTACACTCGCGCGTCCTACAGCCAGTCGCAGTTGGAAATAATTGAGGGGGTGAGGGGAGAGGCCGGAGAATGAAAGATGTGAGACGAAGAACACATTGGGGACTTGAGCATAAACCCTAATTACTCTGTTACCAAGCAAAATAGATCATCATCACAAAGACCAAACAAGAACAGATCAATTTTATTCAACTGGCAAAACATGCGAATGATGAGCAAGCACAAACAAGCTGCCATACAGCTTTACTGTTACTCTGTGTGCTTATAGCTGAAGCAATAAAACTTAAAAAAATACGATAAAATATAATCATAAGCATACCCAAACGACCTATAGGAGCCGAACTTTTGCGCATCTCTGCTTATATGAAACACATCAGGGCGAAAGTTAATAAAATCGAAAAATGCGCCGAAGGCTTGCTGGAACATCTACTCCTAGAAAAGAAACACTAGAAGATCTGACCTTTTAATCAACTGCAAAATCGACACGGGCAACATAACAAAGATGAGGATTAATTGTGACAAAAAACAAGATTATACACAAGTAAACCCCCTGTACAACTTCAGATTTGAAAGCCAAACAATAATTATATGTTGTGCTAAATTGAAAATCGTCGAAGACGCTATAAATCTCGACTAAATGAAGCGATTAAACATATACTTAGCACCATTCACGTAGAGAAATAGTCCAACTTGTGCCGCGACTCAAATTTACCCTTTACTTAGCGAACTAGTGACGAAATAAACAAAGAAGTATGGCCTAAAAGATTTGACTCTGGAAGCTTAGTTTCACGATTATGAGTAGGAATGGACAACACTACTACTAAAGCTACCAATAAGTACAAGGTCCAAAAATTAAACAGCATCACAATACGATGACTAATTGTAGTGAATTAAAGTAATATTATGGTAGGGACCGAGAGAATTTAAACGATTAATAAACAGAAAACTCAAAACAGTGATATAAAACTAGATACCCGATAACATATAAAATTTGCTAAACTTCTTAGGTTCTAGATAAAATAAAAATTTAAAATGTGATGTATTATCAGACAGTCTGTGCTCAAACCGCAATTTTGTGTGTAACCCACTAAAGCACGTAATAACCATAAGACAGTAATGACGAAGACTTTTAAAATTAGGATACAAAATAATAGCGAACTGGAGTAGTCACAAGCAATTTAGCAGCGAAACCAAAGGCCGATAAAACTATCTCCTACAATAAACGAAATAAAAGATAAATTTACTGAAATACATACCACCAGTGGGTTCTATCTTTGAGAGGAGTTAAGATGCTATAGATGAGCATGATTGACAACATTACCTTATGACAATGCGCTCAAAATTGTGTCTTCCCACCCAAATATACAAACATAGAACCCCTAATAAAAGTGTGTAAATAGCTCTTTTACCAGAACACAAAGAAAGTGTCAGTGTTGGTTCGACCTCGTTTTCGCAACTTGGTCGGAGCGTCGGGAAGACCTTGTGGAACTTACCTTTCCCCGAATCCTCTGCCACAGTATTCGTGATTTCCAGTATCGGACCATTGACTTGGTACATTCACAATGGTCCAGTCAATGACCCAATGCTGGAAAGCACGAATACTCTGGCAGAGGACATGGGACTAAGTACGTTTTAAAAGGTCTCATTGACGCTCCGACAAAGTTGCGAAAACAAGGTCGAACCAACACACATCATTTTGATCTTCATAAAAAAGAAAGCGTTAATTCTGAGGACGCAGAATCTGAAGTTGTCAGGTTAGAACCCCTGCTGGAACGATAACTATTGGTCAGTATCCTATCATTCTTTTGACGGAAATGAGCGTCTGGTGCTGGTTACTGAGGCTCTTTCCGAGTAGTCTGTTCGAATGATGGTGGAGGTTATTGTTGAGTTGCTGTAACCGGCCTCAATCAGCATCGAAAAGAGCTAAATTTGCGCTTCAGCTCATCCTGAGGCCAGCACAGACTATGGCAAACTGTTTAGGCCATTCAAGCAACTCGCTTTGAGCAAATTCGATGTGCAACCACACACAGATACGCACACACATGCACAAGGAATATGTGCGTATGTGTACACAGGCGAACGCATGTGGACCTGCACGTCTGGTAGTTGAGGCAAGCAGGAACCCGAGGGGTCGGAGCATCCGACATACCTCGATCTGAGTCCGCCATGTCCACAGCTTCGTGAGCAGGCCGCCCACTCAGACCATTGGGACCAGCCTCCGTCCACTTGGATGCTCACTTTGGCTGGCTGGGAAACGGCCTCTCCAAGGGCCGAAGTGGCTCGGCACTGGTACACGCCCTCGTCAACTTCGTCAACGGCAACGATGCTGTTTAAGGGTGGACGAGAAGCGAGTAGAAAAATTATTATTTTCGAACAGGTTAATAGATAGAGGTGTTGCTTTATTACAAAAGCAAAGTCAGCGTTTGAGCCTACAGTCAGCACATGAATGTATATGATGTGCGTATGCATTGCGTGTGTATGAGAAGGTATATTATAGTCTATGCCAGCCTCCGCCTCTTCTGCATCGGTTACTAAATGAAAATAAATCATTGTAACATCTTAACCTAAAAAAGGATGAGAAAACTTTCGAAAAGAAGGCATAATTCAGGAGCGAAAGTATGAAGACCAAGATGGTGTGGTCTTTGGTATGTTCGCAATCTCCTTTCGAAATATAGAAATGGAATGACCTCGTTTTCACAACGTGATCGTGTTGTCAGGGTGACGTAGTTGGATCCGCCTTTTTCAAAGTCCTCTGCTCTAGTAGTCATCATAATTACCGGCAACTTGGTACATTCCCAGACGTTTCGCCAGCATCGTAGTCGGCACCGTCAGTGAGTCTTGCCATTCTCAGCACCAAACAATAATTTGTGAAAGGAACAATCTCTTGAACAAAGTTTTGCCGAAACGGTTGTGTAATCACTTCTCTTTCTGTCTTGGCCCATTTATCAACTCCCTAGCCTCTTATATCACTCTCCCCCTATCACAACTTCTGACTTGTTTGTATTCCACTCCCCAAGAGATAAGCTCCTTTATTGGCGAGTTTAGTATAGCATCCATCACATCTGTAGGCATATCCCCTTTTGTGAGTTTTTTTCATAATAACCGCCTTGCCATCGGTTTATCACGGCTCTTAACTTTATTTCTATTACTTCTCTTGGGTATGTTTCCACAGCATATTCGAGTCATTTTGTCCAACTGTAAATCCCAAAATTTCATGTCCGTCAATCCTAGGCTCCTGTCGATCATACACCTCAATATTCCGGTCTTCAGTATATAGTTGTTATGAGATTAAAAACGAAGTTTTATTTGGGCATATTAATTCTTTATAAACAATTTTCGCTGAGCGTCCGATTTGAGTGAATGACTTAAACATTCAGGGAAGGCAAACGCCCCTCCACATCTACTTCCATTGTGAACTTGATTCCTAAATCTACCGATGAATAATATTTATTTTGTATTTGGAGGTATGATTGATCGACAGATACAAGGACTTGCGGTAGGATATTGATGGGACATTTTGTCTACAAATAACCATATTTAAGATAAACCTAAATGAAAATGTATTATCATGACTCTAAAATTGAAATGTACATTAAGGTCGGTATTTTATGACCAGATCAATCTAAAAATCTCTTTATCAGGCTCTTCTACAAGAAATAAAAGTCAGCTCAATAGTGACAGCTTAAGTGGTTCATATAAACTCATATATTCTTAGTGTGTATCATGTAATACAGTACTATATTGTATTGTGACAAACTATTCCATGCTACACTGGACTACATATGTTAAACTATCATAGTATGCAATACTCTACTAGATATAGTATATTGTACTATATATATATATATTGCACTACACTTTAGCATAGAAAATATATTAAAAAATGTTAGTATTTGGTATATGACAAAATATAAAGCTATAATTAGGTAAAACGTCTGAGAATGTACCAAGTCCGCGTTCCAACTATGGAAATTAGCATGCATACTATAAACTCCGGACAAGATTTGCTCCTCTAGGTCTTCCTGTCAATATGACTAAGATGCGTAAACAAGGTCAAACAGCTTCTAAAAAATATCGTTAACAATGCATAATGGTGCGATATGATAAAGATTTATCTAATCAGTTAAACATTATAAAGTAATAATTTGTCATGATATTCGATAATAAATTAAAAATATATTATAACACTGTGTAAAATATGATTCAAGATCATATAAAATGATATTACATGACATTTTAGTAGGTAACAAAAGATATACGAAATATGATGACATTGCAGGAAAGAATATGACAATAAGTTTAACTACAGAATAAATAAAATAATGCCAACTCGTTAATGGATAATTATGCTACTCAGCATGTAATAATATATTATGGGGAAGCTTTGTTATTCTAATGTATGGAATATAATTGGTGGCCTCGATAAGTATTAACTTAGCCTATCAATCCTAATCACTTAATCAGCTGCTTCTGCATTTCATGATTATTCCAATCGCCAGAATAGGGAAGCAGAAAGTCTTACTCACCGAAGTGATCCATTTTGCACCAAAGAATGCCTAGAATCCATCACCACGGGCTGATTGTCTTTGAACCAGTTTAGCTGAGGTGTCGGCTCCCCCTCAGCAGCACATGGTAACGTGACGACTCGACCCAAAGTAACACTAGTGTTGTGCGGACTGATCACAAGCATCGGCTCACCTAGGATCAAATGAAAATAATAGAATGAAAACAGCAATTTAACAAGCAGCTCATTCTCCATCAATAAGAGCCTTGGAAGGAGTTGGATGTTTGCCAATGTCATTGGGTCAAATTTTAGTCGACTTCTTACCTTGTGCTCCAATTAATAAAAATTTAGAATTAAGGATCGGAAATCTTAATTGACACTGGCTTACCTACTATTTTTTTTAAAAAAAGGTGAGTGGAAAGGATTCGAATATTGGCCTAATCTGAAGACGAAAGAGGAGGAGACGAAAGACGGAGGTGTGACTGTCCACCATGCCTCGATCCCGATTAATCCATGCTAATTTTCGACATGATGGACACCATCATAGGCAGTACCCATCGTTAATGAGTTCTGAGGTCTACTTTGCCCAATCCAGCAAACACAACTCCAAGGCCATCCACCTTTGGTTTCGGGCTAAGTCAAATTGCATTATTGTAAAAAGGAACTCTGAAATCCAGCCTTTCTGTTTAACTTCAATGGAATTTACAATCTAGACTGATCCAGTGTTTCTTGTTATAGGTTTTGAAAGAGTACTTAAATATGTTGAGAAGAAAGGTTTTCAATCTACTTTACTGCTATTAAATACTGCTATCCAGTAATTATCTAATAAAAGAACGCTGTAGCTGCAAATATATATAGCCTAAAGCCAATTTAAACGTACTGCTTATTATCAGCTTGAATTCTCCGAAATCTTCGCCGACTGGATTGGCAGCGATACACTGATAAACGCCCGTATCGTGAGCCTAAAAAGTAGAAAAGATTATGTATGTATATGATAATTTAAGTTATGATGGATAG